ATGAAACTATCATCAATACTCCAGACTAAGTTACTTTAATAACCTTTATGCAGCCACATATACTACAAACTGATTGTAGATGAATCCACTTAATCCATCGCTGTTTGTTCTCTGTGTTCTGAGCTTTATTAAGTGACAAATGCTCAAAGTCCAAACGATTCAGTCCGTGAGTGAACTGCCCTAATGATTCAGACGACTTTCTATGGTGCATACGCGGCAAAATGATTCGGACTCAGTCGCGACCCAGTTTTTGTGAAACATTTAGGGTTTTGTTTACCTGTTTAAGGGGCCGTTCACATGTAGCGCCTAAAAACGCGTCCAAAACGCTAGGTGCGCCGCTTTCTGCTTTTTCCCCAAAGCGTTCGGGCGCTTGAGCTCCAGAGGCGTCTGCCGTTGCTAAGCAACCATGACCCGCGCACTTCACGAAGACGCGGAAGTTTCAGCAAAGAATAAATGGATTTGCAGCACTAAAAATCGCTTGCAGTATCTCTGCTACTAAATTTATTTAAAAATGTCTATCCTGTACAGCTATGATCAGCTGTTCCTTCATTTTGTCTGAGCTTTTAATGTTATTACGGAAAGGATGAAGCTGATTGGTTGGTTCTTGTCACATGACCCGCGGTGCGTTTGCGGCATTCTGAAAAGTTTAAATGTTTTCAACTAATGAAAATATACAATTGAAACTAATGAAAAAATGAGCGCGTCGCATGGTCGCACCGCGTGCGCGTCGCTTCCTTTATGAGATAACGAACTTGAGCGCGCAAAAGACGCGATATGTGAACGGCCCCTAAACAATTCACGGTAAAGAATCTAAAAAGTCTAATCTAAATAATTACAACTCTAAAATGGAAGAATTCATAACTTTTAACAAAAAGATGATCTTTACATTTCTGCTTTTAGTATGATGCTTTCTTACATCAGTGTTGCTCAACGAAAGATTGATAGATCACTTTGGTTCAGTAGTCACAATGCCTATTTGATGAGCCTTGTTGAAGCTATTGGTCTCGCTGTTCTGAGCTTTCTTTCTGTAGCTATAATAGCATAACCGCTCTGCTGATGGATGGCCGTTTCCACAAAGCTAAACAAACACTCTCCAATAGAGCGATTGCAGGCCATTAAGCCATTCTATCAAGACCAATGGACAAATGTCTAGAGGAGCTGGGGTCCCGGTGGTGGGGATATAGATCCATTCTTCAGCCCCCCACCGTCAACAACTTTGGATTAATCTCCAATTTAGATTTCAGATCCAATCTCAAGGCCAATTTGTGTGGACCACAGTAACAAGGTTTTTAAAAGTCAATCGATCAAAGTTACTACCAACTTCCAGATCATTTTCCAGACATGACAGTGCGCTGAGTTATTTTCACTTAATAACCCACAGCATGTGGACTATTAATTATTAATTTCACAACTTCAGCTAGGGTTGAGCTGGAGGGAAGTGCCTTGTACTGTAATGGCGGGGAAATCCTCGTTTTGCCCAATAAATGGGGCAAAGACACTCTAGAGAGAACAGTGTGGCCTCCTATTTAAGGCTTGGTCTTTTCTGCATGTTCTGTTAAAAAAAAGATAATGACAGTCTGAGTTTACAGGGTCTCCAAGCAGTGATTTACATAAATTACAAGATTGTGTGTGCACTGATAGGGAGAGAGTGCTAAATTGGACTGTTTGTGCAAGTCAAGGACAGTCGTTATTACTTTTCTACGCAATCAAATGGTTTTTTTTTCACCTGGCAGACAAAATATGCAAAAAAATTCCATAGACTTGCATTAAAGAAGGGGAACAATGTGAAGGAGGCTCTTTTGACTGGGGCCAGTAAGTGACCACCTAGCAACCACATAGTAACACCCTGGCAACAACCCACAAACTCTTGCATCATGGCAGCGACTTTTGCATGGGTTGGTTTGCACACAAAATCAAGTTTCCTCCATTTCAAACCTGTTATGACTGTGTCTGCTTCACTGTGTTTCCACCACCAAGGAAGATTTATGTACTTTAATGACAGGATGTGATTTAGACCTAAAGGTTGAATGAATCAACTACGGTCTATTACACTCTGCATAATCAAACCTCTATATTTTTCACTCCAGTCGCTTTTCTCCTTCTCCTTCTCCTGTCCCTGTGGTGCTGTATAATAGCTCAAGTGCTTCAATAACACAACAGTGTTAATTATGAAAGGGAAGGATGGTGAACAGATTTTGAGTGCAATACTAAGCCCTAGTGGTGAAACATTGCAGTGCAGTATTTATGATTTATTTATATAACTGCATAACAGACAGGCAGCCAGTTTGTAAGCTGTTCCATTTTTAACTGTATTTATAATTTAAAATAGTGGGTTCTACTTTCCTTGCATGTCTAGGATCCTCTTGATGGATTAGGTTGTTTCTGTTCTGAACATGTCCCTGTGAGATTGTTCTGCAATAACAACACAGCAAAAAATAGCTGAGGAAAAACTTTGATTATTTACCAATTGAAACAACAATTACACCCAGAAGGAAAAGGCAAGCATTATTATTTTATTCCCCTTCTCACGGCAGAAGAGGTTCATTCTGCACACTTATTAAACCACATGCATAATATTAGTAATCAAGCCTGCATAAACAGCCTAAATGGAGAGTAACTTATATTCGTGCTTTGCATTGCTGTCAGAATATCCTTTATGACATTTCTGAGAGTGCTGTAGCTATTATTCATTATTCATCTAGCACAGTGGTGTGGTGTAGAGAGGTCATAAAAAGTGCTTGTTTTCTTCTGTATAGGTGAAAGGGTCTGCTTGGAAGGGCAGCACTGGTGGCTGGTTGTAGATGCCCGTCAGGAAGATGCAGATGGTTCCTAACGTCATAACTGGAGTGACCACATAGAAGCAGAGTCGGTCCACTGTCCTGGCAATCCCACTCCAGTTGTCCTTTTCCTGAAGTAGAAACATGTGTTTAGTAATTAAATTCATCATTAAATAAAATTGATTAAAAATGTATTCAATTAATCATTGAAATTAAATAAGTTAAAATTTAAATATCATTTTTACAAGATACATTTATAGTGGAAATTATTATTTATATGTATTCCTTTATATGCAAACAACTATATCATTATTAAAATATCAAAATATTAAAAATGTATACAAATATATATACAAATATTATATTATATTATTGCAAAGCAAAATAAAAGGGTTCCAAAAAATAAAAATTTATATATATATATTTATATTTATAAAATTCATATATATATATATGAATCTGGTTTCATCTTTTGAAACTCAAAGTGAAATGAAAAGTTCCAAAAAAAAAACATGGCTAAAAAAATCACTACAAATGGTTCAGAAATAGATGCAATGAAACATATTTTTATTGTGACGGTTAATAGAGGAAATCTGCAAAGTGTTTACTGGATTTAACGGTCTTCTTACCCCATTATAGTAATTTTTGTCGTGCATGTGTTTAACAATGTAATTGGCACCTTCCACAGCTGGTTTCATCTCATTGTACAGCTGTTCCGACACCTCTGAGCCATTACTGGATGTGTACGCTGTAAAGAATTTACTCTTTTAATGGCATTAAACTGTGATAACACTTTAAATATGATCATAATGTGAGTTTAAAGTGTCATGCTGATCACGTGGGACTGACTTGCTTTGGGAGTGGGGCGAGCAGCCATGCCATGCCTCTCAGACTGCTTCTCAAACATCAGTTCGCTGCGTGATTTAACACTATAGTACTCCTCTGGGCGATGTACCCCAGTGAGCTGGAACGCCGTGGCAGCGCCCCTTCCAGGCTGGGTTTGTCATCGTCTGGACAGGACATGTGCAGAAGACGAGGCAGTTTCTCCAAAAAGAACTGTAGCAGACACGATGAGCAGTATTTAAAGAAATAGCGCAAATGAAAATTTGCCAAAATGAAAATTTGCTGAAAATGTACTCACCCTCAGGTCACCCAAAATGTACCTGAATTTGTTTCTTTGTTAGAACAGATTTAGAGAAATTTTGCATTACATCACTTGCTCACCAGTAGATCCTCTGCAGTGAATGGGTGCCATCAGAATAAGAGTCTAAACAGCTGATAAAAACAGCACAATCACAAAAGTAATCCACACGACTTCAGACTATCAATTAATGTCTTAAGTAAAAAGCCATGTGTTTGTAAGAAACAAATCCATCATTAAGGCACTTAACTATAATAACTTTAAACTATTTAACTTTATACTACAAAATAACACTTTCTCCCATGAAAAAGTCCATCCTCTGTTGTCCTCTCACATCAAAATCCACCAACATTGAAAAAAAAAAAGTTTTGGACTGTTTTCGCTTGTAAACTGTGCTTGATCTGTGCATATTTCTCTCCTGATTCAGATGAGACAACTTTTTCACTGGAGAAACCAGTATTATGGATATGTTTTAGAAGGAAGCAAAGAAGTTAAAAAGAATTTGGATTTGTTTCTTTTCGACTGGATTTGTGTGGATTTCTTATAGATTATTATGTTTTTATCAGCTGTTCAGACTCTCATTCTGATGGCAACCATTCATTGCAGAGGATCCATTGATGTAATTCTAATGTTTAATACATCTACAATTTGGACATCCTGAGGGTGAGTACATTTTCAGCAAATTTTCATTGACAAATTGCTTTTGTTTCTCTTTTATAAGTCACTTTGCATAAAAGCATCTGCTAAATGCATAATAAATACAAATAAATCAATAAATTGCTTTTTCTTCCTCTTTTATATGTCACTTTGGATGAAATCATGTGGTAAATGCATAAGTAAAAAAATAAATGTAATCTTTAGCAAATCTCAATCCTATTTTTCATACTGTACATTATAATTGATTTTGCTTTTTTAGCATTTTATTTTTGTTTATTTAGGACAAAATACTACAGAATGTTGAACATGAAATAAAAATTAATTAAATTCATTTTAAATTAAAATTAAATTTTTAGTGCATCTCTATGCATATGCTACCATTACACAACATCCATTTTTGGGCACAGTAGTCAAAGTTTGTCATGACTGAGATTATCAGTTGGGTTCACATGCAAAAAAATAAAAATAAATGATCACACAGACAAGTGAGGGCCTGACCTCTTTGGTCCATTCTGTCATGACATGGGTGCTGGGCGTCCGAAAATGCAAGTTGAGCACAATTACGCAATTCAATACCACCACAGTGACCAGTACCATGATAAACATCAGATACCTGTCAAATTCAAAAACATTCATTTTATTACTATTTTACTGTTATTAATAGAGAAATTATTATTTTTAAAAATAACTAGCATACACTGTAAAAAAAAAAAAAAGTTGATTCAACTTAAAATAATTTGTAACCTGGCTGCCTTAAAATGTTGTGTTCAATAAGCTAAAAAACATTTGTTGTTTACACATATACTGGAGTTCCTTAAACCTAGAATTAATAGTTGGGGTAACAAAGGTGAAGCTGAATCAACTTTATATTTTGTATAACCAACAAGTTTTAGTAAGCCCAACTAGACGAGAAAGTTGTGCCAAACTAAATTCAAGTTGAAAGAACATAAAATTAGTGAGACCAACAAACATTTACTGATATGGAGTTGTTTAAACTAAGCATTTTGTTGAATAAACTTATAATTATGAGTTATGCAAACTAAATACAAATTGGCTAAACCTAGAATTAATAGTTGGGGTAACAAAGGTGAAGCTGAATCAACTTTATATTTTGTCTAACCAACCAGTTTTTAGTTAGCCCAACAAGACGAGAAAGTTGTGCTTACCTAAATTCAAGTTGAAACTACATACAATTAGTGAGACCAACAAACGTCGAGTTGTTTAAACTAAGCATTTTGTTGAATAAACTTTTAAGTATAAGTTGTGCAAACTAAATACAAATTGGCCAAACTAAGCGTCTTGTTGAATTAACTTATATTTTTAAGGCAGCCAGGTTACTTTTTCAAGAATAGTTCATCTCACTAGTAATGTTTAGTTCATTCAACTGGCTGAACTATGTAATTTGCCCACACAACTCAAGTTTCTATTTTCTACTGTACCGCATAAAAATGGAATGGACATTTAAGAACATGTATACTTTTGTGCAATATGTTTTTAAAATCTATACTTTAGTATACTATATTAGTGATACTGAATCATTCTCATACAATATATCTGATAATGGCATACTTCACGATTAAGGGAACTGCCATAGACGTCTCAGGCAGACGCTGTGAAATCAGCAGCAGAAACACAGACTGAGCCAGCAGCACAGAGATGGATAACGTCATCTTCTCACCACCTGAAACAGGAAAAAGATGTAATGACATACCGATTTGTGACAAACATGTTATATATGGATTCTAATATATGTAACAAACGTATTGACTGTTTATTTCAATACTCTGTCACTGTCTTTCTGTCATACTGCGACAATATGGGGTCTATGAGCTTTAAAATATCATAAACGGCAGGATCACTCACTGTCTGCAGGCAGGTAGTAGACAAGTGAGGTCAAGAAAGAGATGAGCACGCAGGGAATGATTATATTCACAATGTAGAACAGAGGTTTACGTCTAATGATGAGGTAAAAGGTGATATCCTGGTGCTTGTTGCTTTCCATTGGGATGTATTTATAAGTGTTTTTCCTGGTAGGCTTGTGAACAATTTCCCACTCGCCATTTTCTGCAAGAGAGGATCCAGAGATAGATTTTGTATTTGAATGAAACAGTAGAAAAAGAGAAATATCTTTGTGTCAGATTTCACCTGTGAATCCCTCAGGATCAATAATGATCCATTACACCTTGTAGGACTTTCCATCCTCATCCTGCTCCTCTTTCAGATGTAAGCTAATTTCTTTGGCGTTGTAAGTTAATGAGCTGATGAGACAGAATGAGTGTCGTGGGGGTCATTAGGCAATAAAATACATGAAGCAATTCATATAGTAGTTCATAATTTCTATAGACATAAAAAAAAACGTACCTGAACTTTAGTGAGCAGTTCTGCCAATCAAAAGGGAAGTAGTTGACATTAATAGAGCAGGAGCTGCGAAATATAGCTGGAGGCAACCAGTACACATATTTACATTTACATTTAGTCATTTAGCAGACGCTTTTATCCAAAGCGACTTACAAATGAGGACAATAAAAGCAGTCAAAACTAAGAAAAGAGCAACAATATATAAGTGCAAATGACAAGTCTCGGTTAGCCTAACGCAGTACACGTAGCAAGGTATATATATATATTATACACACACACATATACACACACATACACAAAGAAAAAAAGTAGATAGAATAGGAAAAATAGAAAGCTAGTGTTTGTTTGTTTTTTGTTGTTGTTGTTTTTAAAAAAAATAAATTAAAAAAGATAAATATAGATAAAGTAGAATTAAAATAGAATAGAACGTGTTCGAGTTAGAGGGTCAAATAAAGGTTTACATATCCACTGGGATAGATAAACACATTGCAGTAATAGGTCACCTGGAACTGGGCATCATTGCTATTTTAAAGAACCATGAAATCAAAAATGTATGTAAAATACATAACTATTGAGGAATAAAACATGAAGAGAAAGGAAATATATAAGTAGGGTACAGCGGGGCTAAAGGCGCCCCGGGGTAAAAGGCGCCTTTGATATTATTTTCATCTAAACCACTAGATGGCACAAAAACGTGGCGTTGCACTTTCCAAAACATTCCCTTTTCAAGATGCACCTGTATATTTGTCTGATCTTTGACGCGATCGCGCACAGCAGTGCAAAGTTGATTCTGTGCTTACTTGATCTAATATTTTATGTTTTT